TGCCTCCACGGTATGTGAGATAGGAATTTTTTCAGACTTGCCAGCAGAGAACTAGGCCACTGGAAGAGCCCCCTGAAGGATGGGTTTCACTTCTGCTTCCCCTGACACTCGCTGCTCCTCTGCTTTTTAGTAAGAATCATGGTACTTGGCAGCTTCACCCCACCCACTTAAATATACCTCCTCCTGAGGAAATAAAATAAAACTTCCTTTTAAACTGGTATTTATTTGGATTTTCACAGCATTCATTAAAGTGCTTTCCCGGGGCGATCCGCAGTAAAGATCCCATCCCACCCACCCCCCCTCCGGAACACCAGCTTTTATATGAACTGTCTCTCGGACAGTTTAACGTTTCAGAACCCTGGAAATCACCCAGGTCAAATCCCATGCTTTTTCAGTGGAGGACACTGTGGTGGAATGAGAGGTCACATGGCTCGTTTCTGCTTATCGGTGGCAAACCCAGGACTCGAGACCCCGCTGAACTGTCGCCTTGTCTGTGAAGCTTCCCCTCTTTGCAACCACTCCCTTCTCTCTCCCTTCACATGGCCTTTTTTTGGTCCCTGCTTCTATTATAACCCTTTATCACAGCACTCACCTCATTTTGTATTGTTTCATTTGCTTATGTGCATTTTTTTTAAGAGTTAGCATTTTTATTTATTTTATTTTATTATTACATTACGTTAGTCCCCACACAGTACATCATTAGTTTTTGATGTCGTGTTCCACGATTCCTTGTCTGCGTATAACACAAACAATCTTATTTCCTTTTCTACTTTGCTTTGAATTCCTCAAAGGGGAGGATGGAACCTTGGTCATTTTCGAATACTTCCTTAAACCCACTGCCGCGTAGCCACTCAAAAACCGTCTGATTAACAAATCCATGAGTGACCGGATCTTCACCAGAACACTCCGCTGTGAACATTCATTTTCCCTGTTTACAAAATGAAGATTGCTCTGATGTGTCTCTCAAGATAATTGTGTAGTTACGTATGATTGCCAAGTGCTTTGAGACCATAAAAAAGCTTTATAAGTGCCAACCATGATTACAACCCTTTGAAACAATGGGATGTATGATTTACAAGTGGAAAAAGATGAGCCATAGCAGGTAATGCCTCTTCCCTGGTTCTCATTTCTATCCCCGCCCACCATCAGGTCGTAATTCGGAGGTAGACACAGCAACGTGGGAGAAGAAGGGAGGGTTGAACTACAAGCTGGCTCAGGTCTCCAAAGCCTCTGCCATCACACTACCATCAAGAGGGGAGAGCAACTAAATCTGACAAGAGGGGCCAATGGCAAGAGCTCCCAGATAGACGGATGATACCCAGGTCACTGTTGAAGTGGAGACAGCATGAAGAATGCAGGTGGGTGGCCCCTCCAAAACAGATGACCGAGGAGGGCCCATAAAGTGGAAAGCTTCTCAAACTATGCTCTTGTCACCTTATGTTCCCCCTCCTCTCAGGTACACATCCTATCAAGTGGCTAGAAGAGGTGTATTGTATATTGAATGAAAGGACCATTCAGATTTTCCTCCTAGCAATGTGTGGCAGGAGAAGAGAGGGCAGGAACATCTTGCGTGGTTATTTTTCTTGGGAGCCCTTAACCACAGTTTTGAAGGCAAAGGTGACCCGCCATGCCAATTTTTTACACGGCGGATGCCATCCACTGCAGAGCAAGCCAAGATGGATGACCAGATTGTTCCAGACTTGGCCTCACAGGTCAGCAGGAGGTACAGAGAATGTGGTGATTTTCCAGGGATGAGAGGTAAGGGCAAAGGTCTGACCCCATGAGTCTGCATCTCCAGCTCAGCAGTGAGCTCAGAGAGTGGTTGACATTACATGTCTCAGTGTGTCGGAAGAAATCAACCAGGTCCCAAACAAAACAGCCCTGTGTCTCATGTTGAAAACATCAAATTACCTGGGAGTAGGGGATTTGCGGGTGGGCTGTGGGACTAGGTGGGGAGGTCACTTCACATCGTGGGCTTCTTGGCAGGAGGAAGAGGGATCGTAACCAAGGACCTGAATCTAACTTGTGGTTTAGAGTTTTTGCCAAATGGCTCCTGTACCCCTGGGGAGTTCTGGATGTGGAAACAGTTAAACTCTTCTCCACTTCTCAGCCATACCACTGTCAGTCACCTCAGAATGTTTCATTATTTGGCATAAGGAATTGGTGAGGTGGCCCCCATTACCTCCTTCCTTGACGTCAGTGAGGGAGTTGTTCCCTGTGGCTGTCTCATGTGAAATATTTCAGCATTTGTACTTCAATTAAAACTCACAGGTATATATTATTAAATGGTAGTGACTCATTCCATGGCTTCTCCTCAACTGAATAAGTGCCAAAAAGTGCTTTGTGCCCAGTAATGACGGAGACTGCATTAAAACTAAAATTTCTTGTCAAATAAACTATATTCAGGACTCTGAAGAAAGCACCCCACATATCCAAGAATATCACTCTGTTCCGTGTCGGTGTTTCCTCAAGAAGAAATTTATGTTCAAGATTCTCTCTGCTTTGAAGGAAAAGGAAAAAGACACCTGACTAGAACCCTCTTTCCTTCTGTGAGTTTCATGAAGGCAGAGCCTGGCACATGGAATTTTTTCCAAAGTGGGGCTGATCTCATTGAATTACACAACCCGTATTCAATACATCTCTAAGGAGAGAAGGGGAAATACGCCTTCACATATCACTCAGCAGGAGATGAGAGAGGAGCAAAAGTTCAGATTTTATAAAAAATTGTACTTTTCTCTTCATATTAATGTATTATTTTATATTTAATATGCTTGGAAGCATGGCCAAGGGAGCAAACAGCCCTCGTACTTCCCCCCACATCCTGTTCAAAAGGCTGTATTCCTATCTCACACAAAAACATTCCAAGCTGAGTGACCACAGGCCACAACTTCCTTTCACTGCTGTCCATGTCCTCATCTGGAAAGCGGGCCTCAGGATCTGTACCCAGAACACCTCCCGAGTTCTAGTGTGTGAGCAAGCTCTGGCTTAGAAGCACCCAGAGCAGTAAGAGGGCGAAAATAAAAGCTTTGTGAAACTGCAGGCTTTTCACCCAATGGTCATCTGACAAGTGGAAGTTCCCCAAGTGGTTTAACTGAAGAGGACTGGCCTTGAGGTCCTAGAAAGTGGGCCTTTTGGCCGGGGCGGTCTGCAGCACAGACAGTGCTGCTGAGTGAATGAGAAAAAGACCCCCACTTCTGCACAGACCCACCTCTCCAGGTCCAGAGGCTGGGGAACAAGCACCTTCTCTAGCCAAATCAAAAAGGCACCCCCCTCCTCTAGTGGCCGCCACCCTGGGCCAGACATTCTCACATAAACTCTACTTGGCAACCCTGGCTCAGATCGGCTTCAAGTCCTCCTATGACACTCCCTAACTCTCTGAACACAATTATGTCTGGTTGGATGGGGAGCTGATTAAAAAATAAGTGCAGGGGGGCGCCTGGGTGGCTCAGTTGGTTAAAGACTCTGCCTTTGGCTCAGGTCATGATCCCGGGGTCCTAGGATCGAGCTCCGCATTGGGGTCTCGGCTCAGCAGGGAGTCTGCTTCCCTCTCTCTCTCTCTCTCTCTGCCTGCCACTCTGCCTACTTGTGATCTCTATCTGATAAATAAATAAAAATCTTAATAAAAAAAAAAGTGCAGGGGCAGCTGGGTGGCTCAGTAGGTTAAGCCTCTGCCTTTGTTCAGGTCATGATCTCAGGGTCCTGGGATCAAGCCCCACGTCAGGCTCTCTGCTCAGCAGGGAGCCTGTTTCCCCTCTCTCTCTGCCTGCTTGTGATCTCTCTCTCTCCTCTGTCAAATAAATAAATAAAGTCTTTTAAAAAAGTGGATACATGGTGTCCCAGGTGTACAACACCACGGGCGGCCTGAAAAACAGGAATCACCGCCCTGTGCAGTCAGCCCATGGCACGAGATGCGGACCCATAACACAGCTCTAGAGGCTGGCCTCCACTTTCTGTGGGGCAGAATCCCCACCTTGGTGCCAGAGTCCCAGCCTCTCCTGGAGCTCCCACGGCACCCAGGAAGCAGGAACGACAAGGGAGCCAAAGACTGTTTTCTTTGTTGATGCCTCGTTGCCAGAAAACAGAAATTAGATCTTGCCCAGATTCTCCTATCAGCAGATCTGTGTGCCAGCAAACACTTCTCCGTGAGACGGCAAACAGATATCCGCCTTCCCAAAGCTCGGGGAGTTTTAGCCCCAAAATTGGGTTTAAAGTTTTCGAATCACATAGACACAGGAGGAACCCCTTCCCAAATCTCAAAATGTTTGCGCAAGTAAATTTGGTGGTATTGGTGCCTATTTCTAAAATCGGCTTTGTTTGTGTCTTTTATTGGTTTGGTGTTGTATTTAAAGCAAGAGGCCGAAGGGCTTGGGAAACAATTATAAGCTGGTATGTCATTTTCAGAAAAGGAAACTGAAACCCACAAAGGGAAAGACAGTAGCTCCAGGTCACACAGCAGGGTATACTGGACCCAGCTGGGATTATAACCTAACGTTCCTTCTCTTCTCCCAACTGAAGGTTGGGTGGAAAACAGATGGCACTTAACTCACTGTGACTCAATTTTTCAGTCTCAAAGGATGAATGTGCTTAACCATCGACCAAGGTTATAAAAGGCAACCAATAAATGTGATTTTTCAGTGAACGTTTACATCTGGTGGTTTTCTAAAGAACGACTACATGTACCAGTGCCCCTCCCAGAGGCAAGTAATCTCTGCCACCGGTTAGTAGCCTTCCCAAGACTGGAGCCACCCCAGCTCCACCCTGAATAATGTCTTTGCAAGGCTTCCTTAGCATTCTGGCCAGGGACCAGATGTTCTCTGCAGGAACACCTCTGCTAACCATTTCCGTGCCTTCCAAAGCAGTGTTTCCACTTTCCTTGTGGCCCTGAAACAGCAGCAAAACGAGTCATACCCCGGTGTTGTCCCTGGGCTGTCCCCAAAGCCATAAAACCATTACCTAAAGACACACCAAACATTTGGGAGAAGAAAACTAAATGCCAGGTGTTAGGATCAGCCTCCCTGTATTAAACAATCAGACACAAGCATGAATCTGGGAACTGGAGAGCAGCCGAGACAAGGGACACCAAAATACATGAAGCTGAAGATGGGAATCAGTCCGAAATCCACTTGTCTTACAAAATGTCCCTTCTCACCAATGGGCCCCACACTCAGGCAACATGTCAATGGTGTCCCAATTCAGGCGGGATTGAAGATTTTCTTCCAAAGGCATGGGGGTGAGGAGTTATTCTACTTCAACCCCCTGAACAACCTTTTCTAAAGACACAAGTCTTAGGGCAGTCCTTCCTGGAGCACTGTGGAGGAGGAATCAAAGCTTCCAGTGCAAGTCTGCTGTCCGGGGAAAATACCAGAGCCAGTAACTCCACCAGGGCCCTGGCGAGGCTGGGCCCCTCCATCACCTGCAGCACTCTTCCGAGAGGATCAGGGACACTCGAGAAAGCGCAGACCCCGCTGGGTGCTCCTCGGACTCCAACTTGTGGCCCCCATACTGGGAAAGGGTGTTGCTGAAGGGCACGGGGCCCGAAAGCCTTCTGAGTCCAATCACACGCTAACCTTAGAACCGGAGCACTCAGGACAGGTGTAATGTTGCCAAGAATAAACTTATTCTTTCTGCCAGAGCTTTCGGATCTGCAGCAAAGGACGTGCACGTGCGTCATTGTGTGTGCGGAGGGGATGGGGACAGAAGACCCCATGAGAGACCGAGACGGACAGGCTGAGTGAGGCAAAGAGGGCATCCGCAGGCACGGCAGGGGGATCTGGCGACTTGGATTGACCTGTTAATTTATATCATGGCTCTGTACAAAAATAAAGGGGTTCTCATAAGATTAACAATTTAAATAAATATCTGATAGAACTTTTCTTTCCCTCGTTTTTATAGCTCATCCCTGGGGTTGATATTCAGTCCTTGCTTTCCTTGTTGTTCCTGATCCAGGATGGCGATCACTTCATCGGCCTGTATCCGCTCCTGCAAAACAGGTAACCGACACATTTCTGTTACAGGAACCATGGTCAGTCCCAGCGGCAGGTGCTTCCCAAACACTTCTGGGCATCTTTGTGTGCAGAGATGGGAGCTAGGTCCGGTTCAGGACCCTCATCTCCATCCCCCCAGTGGTGCCTTCTCCTGACTTCCTTATGTCTTAAGCAGTAACTTTTCCAAAATTTCTCTCTTCCCTGGAAGTCTTATGTAGTCAACCGACTAGTACCCTTTCTACACTGTGGTTCCACAGGCATCACTCCAGCATTCCAGCCAGAGTCAGCCTTTTCTCCCCCACACACCTATGCCGGTCCTGTTCACCAATTCTCTCTCAGTCAAGACTGCCTCTGCTCACCTGTTTGCCCTCCAAGCCCAGCCATGGCTCCTTGGACCAGATAAATCACCAAGTCCTGTCTGTTCTCCCTCCAGTTTCCACCCCCTTTACAGTGCCCGCTATGGCTGCCTGAGTTTAGGGCAGGATTTCTTGACCTTGGCACTCCTGACATTTTGGGCCAGAGAATTCTTTGTTGTTGGGTGCGGTCCCAAACCTAGTAGAATGTTTAGCAGCAGCCTTGACCTCTGCCCATTATGGGGACCTGGTAGTGCCACCCTCCAAGTCTTGACAACCAAAAACGTCTCTAGCCCTTGCCAAATGCGCCCTAGGAGGCCAAATCAGTCCCACTAGAGAACGGCAGATTTGGGCTGTCACCACCTCTTAGCCCAAATGCTGAAGCTTCCAGATCGTACCCCCATTTGACACCTGGCTCGCACGTGCTTCTGAGGGGCCCCTAGCATTTTGGTCCCAACCACGCCACCGTCTGGTTCATGCTCACAACCCTTGTACCGGTTCCTGTTGTTTGAGGTTCCAGGCTTCCGATATCGCGCATTCTTCAGAGTCTACAATGCTAACTACTCTTTGAGAATTGATACCTTTAAAACAACCTATAACCAGCAGGGAAATCTGCCAGCTCTGTTGACTCCTTCATAGGCTTTCCTTGCTCAGGGATTCCGTCTGAGAAGAGGTGCCCAACTCTGGACTCCCGAAGTTTGTTGCACATTCGAATTACCTGGGGAGCTTTTAAAGCTCTCCATACCTAGGTCACGCTCTCTATCAATTTAGCCAAAATGTTTGCGGATGGAGACATGTTAGTAGTCTGTAAAACTGCCCTGCTGATCACAATGTGGAGCCTGGGAATCCCATACGCTCAATTTTCCAGTAGTTGAAGAGGTTCTGGTCATTCTCTCCTGTGACCACTAGATGCCGCTACTGCTTGATTCTGGAGAAGTTTCTGAACCCTCTGAATTGGGAAGGAGCCAAGAGAATTTACTTTGTGTTAAGTTTATTTGATGGAAAATATCTTGGAAGAGAGTGTTGGGATACTGAGTAATGAAACGGACTCCATGTTTGCTGAATTGAACACTAGAGAGAGAAAAGAGTGTGGTGATGTTCTAAGAGTTTGTCGTCTTCCCCATCTGCTCATTTGCCTAGATTCCCTGGTACAAGAGCACAGTTGGGGGGGGGGGGCAGGGGAGGTGCTGGTGTTTCAGAGTGGACGAGCACAAGGAAAAAAAGGAATCACAGTTGAGGAAGACTGTTCAGTGCCTCTTGAAGTTCTCAGAACTGAGTGTTCTGCCTGCCACCAGCCCCTCCAGTCAGGACCAGGACACTTGTCCCTTTGGGCACCCGGCTATCATCTCCCCAGCAGGGAGTGAGCCTCTACAAGTCAGTCTTCCTTGATGCTCCCTATAAAATGTGCACTGCTGTCTTAGATCTACTTCCTTGCGGACCTCTCCAAGCCCCTCATGGTCAGGGACAGTGCTTTGTCACCGTGGTACCCCCATGGCCTACTGAGCAGGGTTGCCCAGGCACAGAGATCTTCCATAAACATCTGTGAAGTACGTCAAAGAATGCTTACAGAATGTGACCTAAAATCTGTGTGAGTTAGATCGGATGGCAAAATGCATGAGACACAGGAATGAATTTTAAACAGTTTCTGACTAAGTTGGATCCAATTTAGGTATCCAAAGAGAAAATTGGATCGAATGTTGTTTTAAAGACTAGATTTTCATAACTCATCAGTACCCGGGGCTAAAGGAGACGAAGACACCAGTTTAGCCCCTGCCGTGAAGTTTCAGTTTCAGTGTCAGTATCCCATGCCAAGCCTTTGACTGGAGGGACAAGGAACTTGCTACTTCCAGGGCAGACAACTCCACCAAAGGGTAGCAACAATTTTTAAGTCATTTCTATGTTGAGCCAACATTTTCCTTCCACCCATTGGTCTTAACTCCTCCCTCTAAAGCCTCACAGAGAGAGACCATAAGCTCTGGTGGGGGGCATCCAGAAGGATGGGGTCCAGGTTAAGTGTCGACTTCCAGTATAATAAAAACTATATGTTAAATACAGTGTTTAAGTTAACAATAGTAAATAAAAACAAACTTTCCAGGTTTCAGGTTGACTCACCATCTCCTACACGTGTCTCATAAATTATTCGGTGCTCTTTTTATTTTTTATTTATTTTTTAAAAGATTTTATTTATTTATTTGATAGAGAGGGAGAGAGTGAGCACAAGCAGGGGAAGTGGCAGGCAATCTTATTTCCTTTTCTACTTTGCTTTGAATTCCTCAAAGGGGAGCCCAAAGCAAGGAGCCCAATGTGGGACTCAATCACAGGATCCTGGGATCATGATGGGAGCAGACGGCAGACACTTAACCGACTGAGCCACCCAGGCACCCCTCAGTGCTCGTCTTAATGATTTGTTGAGAAAATAGGTAAGTCTAACTAGTGCCCAGCAGAAAGCGTTTCTTCTCTCTTGATGCCACAGTTTGGTAATAAGCTCAAGACTAACTAGGGACTGCCATCACTATTTCCTCAAAAGTTTTCTTATTAGAACCTCCCTGATCAAGAATTACCTTCCTTGCCCCTCTTCTTTCTCTCAGACTCACACTACACACAACAGCTGTGTAATTGCTTCATCATGAAAAATCTGTTCTTGCTTAGAAAACACAGCCAGTGTTGGAAACCAGAAAGAAAGGACTCTATAATAGTTTGGTTGATTTTATGATCTCTAAGATCCCTGAGGGTTATGAAACAATTAATGGACTTTTCAGATAAATCAGTTCAGTTCACAAAGCAGGTCTTTGGGACATTTACTTGGCCTTCGGGGGGTGGGGGTTAGACACTCACCAATTCTCTGTAAAGTGGATCCAAGGTAAACCACAGAGCCACGGCACACCTCTGGCCCTTGGTGACTGCCTTCACTCCATGCGGGTTCTCTCCTCCAGAAGAGAAGCTGACCATACGGCCACACTTTGGTTTGATAGAGGCCTGAGGAAGAAGGTGAAAATGAGACTCTCCTTTCCATATCAGGAGCATCTCTACGACCCCTTTCTCCATCCTTCTATGGGATTATTTAGGTCAAGTTTTGAATCAAAGAATAATGGAATCCTGGGCTGGAGTAGACGTGGGTTGGTTCAATTTCCTCACACGTGAAACAAAGGTAAGCTCGGAATAAGGTGTGATTCAGACATTAAAGTGTTCAGGTAAAATGGCTGGCACAGTCAAGGGCACCAAGTCACTACCCAACACAGGCGACCCTATGGCTGACAAACTCCATGGAGACAAAGGCTCCTTTTTACTTTATTTCCCGACATTTAGCTCTAGCACAGAATCTGGCATATGGCAGCTGCCCATTTAATATCTGGGGAATGACAAAAACAAGTCAAAGAGTGCACAAGAGTGCTGGTACCTTTTATTACTGATCTAGACAGTGGCTCCATGGGTGCACATTTTTCATGCCTCAGTTGTACGTGTCTGGTTTGTGAGCCTTTCATAACACGAAGATTTTTAAAAGTCAAGTCTAATGCCATATGATACTTTAGTTCCCACTATAGTATTCCTGCCCACTGGTGCTCAGTGAATTCACTCTCCTCCTTGGAGGGACCTATTCCATGGCCTCCAGGCTCTGCAGTGATGAACATAGTCCTTCCAAGCTTGTGCTCAGGTGAAACTGCTCAGTAATGTTCAGGGGAAGAGGACAGAGAGAGAAGAGGAGTGAGGACAGTGAGAGTGTCCGGTCAAATGAGCGGGTTCTCCAGACTGAGTTAACTGTGCAACAGAATATAAGGGGCCTGGCATCTGTATTTTAAGAAGTGTCTGATGCCATCCAAAATCTATAAAGAACTTATCAAACACAAACCCAAAGAACAAAGAATCCAATCAAGAAATGGGCAGAAGACATGAACAGACATTTCTGCAAATAAGACATCCAGATGGCCAACAGACACATGAAAAAGTGCTCCACGTCACTTGGCATCAGGGAAATACAAATCAAAACCACAATGAGATACCATCTCACAGCAGTCAGAATGGCTAAAATTAACAAGTCAGGAAATGACAGATGCTGGCGAGGATGCGGAGAAAGGGGAACCCTCCTACACTGTTGGTGGGAATGCAAGCTGGTGCAACCACTCTGGAAAACAGCACGGAGGTTCCTCAAAAAGTTGAAAATAGAGCTACCCTATGACCCAGCAACTACACTACTAGGTACTTACCCCAAAGATGCAAAGGTAGTCATCTGAAGGGGCATGTGCTCCTGAATGTTTATAGTAGAAAAATGTCTGCAATAGCCAAACTATGGGAAGAGCCCAGATGTCCATTGAGAGATGAACGAATAAAGAAGATGTGGTACACACACACACACACACACACACACACACACAAGAATATTATGCAGCCATAATATGATGAAATCCTGCCATTTGCAATGACATGGATGGAACTAGAGGGCTAGAGGGACAATTATCATATGATCTCACTGATTTGAGGATTTTGAGAAATAAGATAGAAAATCATAGGGGAAGGGAGGGGAAAATGAAACAAGATCGAACCAGAGAAGGAGACAAACCATAAGAGACTCTTGGTCTCAGGAAATAAACTGAGGGTTGCTGGAGGGGAGGGGCCTGGGAGGAATGGTGTGGCTGGGTGATGGACACTGGGGAAAGTATGTACTATGGAGAGTGCTGTGAACTGTATAAGACTGATGAATCACAGATCTGTATCTCTGAAGCAAATAATACATTATAAGTTAATTTTTAAAAAGACTAAAAAAAAAAAAAAAAGCAACAGATGTCAGTAGAGTTCAATTTTCTGAGAAACACAGAAACAGTACTCATTCCATAGCAGAGCTTAGAAAAGTAGAGTAAAAGAAAAAAAATCCTACTATTTGATGACATGGGCCCATTTTAAGGAGTTATTTTCTGCATTGACTTGGATTGATACATGCCCATTAGAAGAACCTTTGGTTTCCTTCACCATAAAAGGGGATGGCTATGTGTTTTCACTGCCGGCTTCAGGAGATATATTTAGAAATTTCCTGAGGTCCTTGGATGCTGCCTAACATAGGTACCCCTAGACTGTAAGACACACATGGGAGGTCAGAAGGAGGTGGAGAAGTCAAGAAGTCTGAAACCTGTGTGTGTGTGTGTGAGAGAGAGAGAGAGAGAGAGAGAGACGAGCAGAGAAAAGCAGTCACCTTCTGGTTACTCTTCTATTCACAATAATTGAGAAGTGATTTGTCTTTCCTGGAGAGAGTTGATTTACTTATGCTGCTTTGTCAAGATGACTTTTCGGATGCAAATCTGAAGAGTTCGCTAGTTACGGGTGCCTTTGGTATCAATCTGATTTCATTTCCGTGGAGAAGGAATTTGTTGCACGTTTCCACGTAGAAACAACAAAATTAATGATACTTGAAACACATGAAGTAGGATAGGAAAGCCTTCCCATATACACAGCTTTAAGATCTAGTTTCCGGTTTTCTGGGCGGCTCATTCCCGAGTGCTGGTCTGGGCCCACTCAACCACATGTGGGTGCCATTGCTTCTATGTGACCATCAAGGGTCAGCAGTAACATTTTACAGTATTAAAGATAGGATGTGGGGACAACTTGATGCCTTATCTCTGATGGAACAGGAGGAATTGAAAGAAGTTTTTACACATGAAGAACTTGGGAAAGTTTAAGAGAAGACACCATCAGCTGCCTGAAGCATTTGGAATTGATTAGAGGTACATAGGTTCGCAAGTCTCCGTGACTGATCTTATCAAATGGAGAGCGTCACCTGTTACACATTAGCCACGGAAAGGAATAAACAAGCTTCATTTATGACATGACTTTTACAGGAAAATATGTCCTGAAGTTTAGATGATTGTAAACATACTTTTGGAACACAGTTTATATTGAATTTAATTTTTCGTGATGCAAATAGAACTTATTAAATCTCACCTCTCCCAAATTTGCACAGAGGAAACCCAAATCCCAAAATACTTATGTTTCACAAATATGCTGGTGTTGAAAATGATCTATGTATCTTCCAAATATGATAAAGGAACATTCCTTTTGCTTTCCATCTAACTGATGATTCAAAGTCAGAGAAGCCTTTGTTCTGTATTCGTCTTGAATGAATGTAAATCTTTAACCACCATTCAGTGAATTGTGTAATTCCCAGATTTTTCCAAAGCAAAGAACTTAGAAGACTTTTTTCCTTGTGTAGCCCCAAGTTGGGCCATTTCTCTGCTTCATTTGTCCCTTATGTCAAAGAAAGGAAAGCTGAAAAGTAAAGCTAATCATTTCTCTTTGTCATTAGGACTGATTACCTAAGAATTTTTATTATTTACAAAATGGTCTAAAAACTCCACTCTATGTATTAATCTGAAATAGAGCTAAATTGGGAAAAATGAATCTATCAACTTGGAGCTTTTCGATCAAAATACTGTTTAAATCAATTTTTCTTTTACTTTTTTAGGGGTGGTGGGGGGGTGAGATTCAGTACGTTTTAAAATATTTACACCTTTCTATTAAAAGTATAGCTATGTAGAAGATCAGAATTATATGCTTTCATATCTTTAAGCAGCAGAATTACAGTTAACTTGCATTCAACAATTAATGAATTCTTTGTTCTCACATGGTATTCCAGGCATCACTTGCTTTCAAACATTGAGCATTTCCAAATATGGCCACTAGATGGTGTAGAAGCAAAGAAATCTTTTCAACCTGTGATTTTTTTTTTTTTTTTTCCCCCAACTGTGTGAGCTGCAAGCACTTTAAAATCTGTTCTAGTGTTGGAAGAGCTCAGAAAGCAAACGCTTTCTCCACAGAGACTTTTTTTTTTAAATGGTAATTTTGTGTTGGGATTAGAAGCAACCCAGATCATCAATCCTGATTTAATTCTCCAGATCATGAAGCATTAAAATAACGGTTGATACTTAAGCTTTCACAACAAACCAAGAGGCATCATAACTTTTTAGATACACTTAATTGCAAGAAATGGTATGAAATATTTTTCTTAATTATTCCAAGGTTTCTGGACAATTTTAACCAGAATCTCCACAGAGTTCTCTTTCAAAGCCAGTAGTACAGAATTTTTTATATCATCTGCTTATATCCCATCGGTATGCCATGAATGATAGATGGGTATTTCACTATTAAGAAAAGGACACAAAATAGGAGAGGGAAAACATAATACTCGGAAAAAGCTGTGAAAATAGTATGTATAACCCAAAATCCTTGAAGTTTATCAGATACATGCTTCAACTACTTAGATTTTGTATGGAGGAAAGATGTATCTCATAATCTATTTACATTTCAATTATATCCTCAATTGGAAAATGTGTTTTTCCTACCCTGGTGTATGCTCTTTGGCTTAAAGTCTAAAGGATGCTGGCTCTATGGTCTATAACTCAGTAGACTGGTTTTCCAAAGGCATTGGTTTGCCTAGTTGAAATTAACTGTTGATTTTTACTTATGGAGTTGTGTTTAGAATCTCATCTTTAGTGTGTGTGTGTGTGTGTGTGTATGTAATGTGTATAAATCAATTTTCAGATACAGGTTTACTTACAGTCATAAGCATATATCTACATACACAGTAATTTCGATAACTAGTGGTCTAGAGTGCAATGTTCAATCCAAGCATGGAGAACACCAGATTGTTCAAAAGCTATCCCACTGAATCCATTTGTCTAGTCCTAGGCATGGGTAACTTAGAAATAGGTGTTCTTGTGTTTCCATCAGACTACCTGACAAAGAATGAGAAGACCCAAGTTCTGATTTCAAGTCTAACACTAACTGGCCATGTAATCATGAGCAAATCCTTCGTATACCTATTCTTTAAATTACCCATCTGTAAAATGGACTGGAAGATTTCACTGATGAATCCATCTCTAACATTTTATGATGTATACATTCACTGGCCAACTGTGCACCTTTTGAATTCTCAAGCTCAGATATTTGAAATCCAACAGTCTGAATCCTCAGAAAAATAGCAAGATTGATATGAAGAAATGCCACAAAAATTTGCCTGTATAGTTTTACTTACCGTCACGGTCTTGGCATCCATCTCAGTGAAAATGAATTCTCCTCCTTCAAAGTCATCGTTCATATACAGGAGAGCACTATAAGAAAAAAGAGAAAACCATTTGTATGATTATGTGCTCACAACAGATTCATCAGAACATACTGGAGATGTAATAAACTGACCAGCCTGATTGGTCAAGTTTCCTTTGAACTGGACATTGAAATAACCGACCCTCCCAACCCTAAAGAGTAAGATCAGATATAGTTTGGGTCATACCCCTGAATATTTACTTGTTTCACTTATGCTAACATTTTAATGATATTTCAAATTTCATCTCCCATTTCACTTTTTCCCAAGAAAACCTAACTAGATTTAATCTACTCCTTCGAACTTGCCCACGCTACTTATAATTCTCTTCTTCCCTCTTACCTCTTATGCTTGTAACTCTAAAGGATGTATTCCCCCCCCACCCCATGTAGCTAGAAAGCTCCAAGAGCTGTAGTCTTGCTAGGGGGTGTTCAATAAATGTTTTTGTATGGCACACTCTATGGCAGTAATTAACCACAATTAAATACATGGTGACTTCTCATTAGACACTAGAACATCATCCAATCTTTCCTCAGAGTTTCCAGTTTCTTATTTCTAGAAGGCAGACATAGGTGAGTGATATTGTAAGACCCCTATGTGCCCTGGGGCAGCAGACCCTTGGGTTCTCAGACAGAGATACATGTCCCACGAGGGATACATTTCAGTGAAAGCCAAATGATCAAATAAGGAAACTCTACTTTTTAATATGAAAACAAAATGGGCATTTTATGGATTAAGGTACAACAAAAACGTGCTTGGATTTTTATGGTGAAAATCTGAGATGACCGCTTCCACACGATCATGCTGAGCTAGTACCCGCGCCTGGAATTGGGTCGCAACCTCAGCCGCGCCTGCCGCCTGCCCCTGCCTCTGCACCATGGACCCCCGCAAAGTGAGCGAGCTTCAGGCTTTCGTGAAAATGTGTAAGCAGGATCCGAGCGTTCTGCACACTGAGGAAATGCGTTTCCTGCGGGAGTGGGTGGAGAGCATGGGGGGTAAAATACCACCTGCCACTCATAAAACTAAATCAGAAGACAGTATCAAGGAAGAAAAACCAGATAGTAAGAAGGCGGAGGAAAACATAAAGACAGATGAACCATCAAGTGAGGAGTGATCTAGAAATTGACAATGAAGGTGTGATTGAACCAGATACTGATGCCCCTCGAGAAATGGGAGATGAAAATGTAGAGATAACCGAGGAAATGATGGATCAGGCAAATGATAGAAAAGTGGCTGCCATGGATGCCCTAAATGATGGTGAACTACAGAAAGCCATTGACTTGTTCACAGATGCCATCAAACTAAATTCTCGCTTGGCCATTCTGTATCAAGAGAGCCAGTGTCTTCATCAAAGTACAGAAGCCAAATGCTGCCATTCGAGACTGTGACAGAGCTATTGAAATAAATCCTGATTCGGCTCAGCCTTGTAAGTGGCGAGGGAAAGCACACAGACTTCTGGGCCATTGGGAAGAAGCCGCACATGATCTTGCCCTTGCTTGTAAACTGGATTATGATGAAGATGCTAGTGCAATGCTGAAAGAAGTTCAACCAAGGGCCCAGAAAATTGCTGAACATCGGAGAAAATACGAGTGAAAATGTGAAGAACGAGAGATCAAAGAAAGAATAGAAAGGGTTAAGAAGGCTCGGGAAGAACATGAGAGAGCCCAGAGGGAGGAATAAGCCAGACGACAATCAGGAGCTCAGTATGGCTCTTTCCCAGGTGGCTTTTCTGGGGGAATGCCTGGTAATTTTCCTGGAGGAATGCCTGGAATGGCAGGGGGGAATGCCTGGAATGGCAGGAATGCCTGGGCTCAATGAAATTCTTAGTGATCCGGAAGTTCCTGCAGCCATGCAGGATCCAGAAGTTATGGTGGCCTTCCAGGATGTGGCCCAGAACCCAGCGAATATGTCAAAATATCAGAGCAACCCAAAGGTTATGAATCTCATCAGTAAATTGTCAGCCAAATTTGGAGGTCAAGCATAATGCCCTTCTGACAAATAAAGCCCTTGCTGAAGGAAAAGCAACTTCGATCACCTAATGGATGTCGCAATAATACAAACCAGTGTACCTCCGACCTTCTCATGAAGAAAGCTGGGGTGCTGTGAAGAGAATCCCTACCCCTCTGCTCCCCAGGCAACTGAAACATTCTACAATGGTTTGCCATTAGGGTATTCATTCAGATAATGTTTTCCTACTAGGAACTACAAAATTTAAACACTTTTTAAACCTTAAAAATATTTAAAAACATAAAAAAAAAATCTGAGATGGCCAAGTCCCTTCCTGGTTGTGGCTTCAGGAAGGTTATTTGAGAATCTCTGCTTCACTGAGATGAATCTGATGACAAGCCAAACAGATGAGGTTTTTAGTTTCCATGGAGAGTTGGTAACTGTTGAGCAAAAGCTTCATCAGTGAAGGTGGTGATGCTTGTACCTATAGTCCCGGAACGTGTACGCAGGAGGCTCCTTCCAGCATTCGTTGGCCTCAGGATCCAACAGGCAGTTGTCAGCGTGGATGGGGTGACTGAGGTCCGTTCTTCTATCCTGCTGACCTGCCGGAAAAGGGAACAGGTGAGATGACAGGAGAGCAGGAACCTCCACCAGCCAAGCTGACAGCCTGTCTTCTCCCATCACTAGTGCCCTTTGCGAATTTGAGGAGATACAAGAGAGACCCACAGAGATGAACGAACCAACTGAGCTGTCAAGAGACGGGTCCTGCTTTGGTGCAAACTTGTGAAACTGTGGACAAATCACGCCTGCCTGTTCTCCTGTGAAAGTTTCTTGATATGAAGATACAAAATAAAAATTCCATGCATTCCATGGGTCAGACTTCATGCAGGAAAGACGAAGGAGAGGGGTGAAATGAAAATGTAAAAAGAAAAGTTTGATTCAGCTGAAAGTTCACGTGTCAGTCTCCTCCCATGACATTCTTCTTCCCCTCCCACTCAACAGGGCATGGAAGAGAAGATCTAGGAGAGAAATCATGACAACAACCACAAGTGAGGAGGTCTCTGCCTTTTTAAGAACATTTCTTTGAAAAATCCCTTCATCTTCTATGCAACCACTTAACGCTTCAGGGTGTGATGGGGGACTATAATTTCCAGGTTCCTGGTTCCCTGCAAAGTGAAACCTAAAGCACGGATGTCCTTCTCTGTGTGACTTTAAGCAAGTAGGGGAAATGGTTGTGAAAGGAAAGACAGGCAAAGCGATGGCCTTCTGGAACTTGAGGGGCTCAAACAAGGAGAAACAGAGGGAAGGGGGAGCAAAGAGTGAACAAGCTGCTTCTGTTTGGGGAATTTACAACTTTGCTAAACCATGACTCTAACATGTAACAGAACTTTGTTTTACATTGTTTCCATTCTCATTTCACCATGGGTAGGAGGGAAAATGTTCAGACTCTGGAATCTTACCAGACAGGGCTGTTCGGCAGACCATGTGTGTATAGGAAAAATACAGGGTTGAGTTCAGCATGAAATAGGATTCTACAATCTTTCGAGCCTTCTCGCTGATGTCATAAAACAGACGGGCACTCTTCAGGGGAACTCGGCCTTCGTAACCAAACTGAAGACAAAGAAGAGCATGAAATCGGGCTGGGTTGACCGGAAGGCGTGAGAAAAAACAGGCACTAGGTTCCAGTAAGGCAGTGTAAAGAGGATCACGTTTGCACTGGCCAGTGGGAATACAGCCTTATGCTGCTCTTGGATTTGGGTTAGGAAAATGAGCCACTGAAATTCATCCTTCCTCATCACAGTGGGAACACTGAAACCTAATCTCTTCCTCTTGTCTCCTCTCAGAGAACACTTCTTTCTCCCCAACAACACATGGTTTGGGGCAGAATCATCATGGGGTTCAGTACGTTTTTGCATTGCCCCAGGATCTCCTTGAGGATGGGGAGGAGAGGGGGCTGTATATTATTTGTCAGATATGAATTTAGGATCTACAATGTTTGATAAGTTGATGACTCAATGAAGGGAACCAAGGAGTGATTTAAAACCATGGAGATATCATTTCATGCTTTCTCCCTTCACTTCTCCTGACACATCTACCGTCTTGACTCTCCTGTTTCCTGTGTCTACATGCACAGAAGGTATTTGATGGACTCTTAGGAACCCAAACCCAAGCTACGACTTTACTTTGAGTGCTTTCAGGACAGTTGCACCTTCAAACTTCTCATTGGGTGTATGGGGTGAAGTTTTCCCTCTGTATCCATCACCAACAAGCATGATTCCCTGGAAGCAAAATACAAGAAGATGCTTTCTTAATGACAGTGATGACTTCATCAGCTCTCCCTTTTTGCCCTGACTTCCAGGAAACTAAGGACCACAGTCAATGCTCAGACCCAACCTTATTTTATACCAGGATCCTGATATCATTAATTCTTCCCATCCAAAGAGGTATCTTCATTTAGACTTCACTCTCCATGTTCATCATGAAATACTAGATTTGTAGAAACAGGCTATCAATGTTCAATATATTGGTTAATTATTGATTAAAATGTAGAGATTTCCCAGTGACTTTATATGGTAGCAGAACACATGCTGAATGGCTATTGTCCTAGGTATAAAGTCACTAACTATTACAGATCCAGGAGTTGTGTCCAGATCTGGACAAAATTCAAATCATCCCAATGCAGGCTATGAAAATGCCCCCACACTGATGTGCTTGTCCTAAAGAAAGTGACATTTCAGGCCTGGTTTCCTGACTCCAAGTGAGACCAGGACCAGAGAGCTCCAGGGCTCCCACCAGGTCAGCTCCATCAGGCTCCCCTCCCACCCGGGTCCTCACACTGGCCACGCTGTGGAGCTCCCGGCACTGTTCCTCTGACAGGACGTTATCCAGGAGAACCCGCTGAGTCCCATTCAACTGTTCCGAGTTATAGACAAACGTGATGTTCTCATAGAGCAGAGGGCCACCTGAAGAGACAGAACATACCGTCTTCTCTGTTACCTCTGTTCCCAAGGTGGGGGAAGCACAGGACACCCATCAGTTTTCAATGTGAAATTCATGAGAATCAGTTTGCTCATGAATACTTTTGCTCATGAATACTTAAGAATGCAAAGACACGTTGGAATCTTGCTATGTACACTATGGATTCAGGAAAAAGACAGATGTCTGACAACCAGGTTTCTCCATAACATCACAATAATGGTGTCACATTTGTACAGTATTGTGGGTTTGCTACACTATCTTTTCATTTGATTCCAGCAATGATCCTGCAAAGCAGACTAGGAATCTCACAGGATGATGTTCAGAGAACTTCTAGAATTTTCTTTGTAACTGCACACATCCTTCCCCACAACACTTGGCTCCTCACTCTGTTAAAACATCACATTACTTGATCACATGTTTGTGCCCCCATACGTGACATATATACCGCAGTATGGAGAGAAATATCTTCACTAGAAAACTCAGCTGGTAAATGTACCATCAGGACAGCCACACCCAAGCCAGCCAAATCCTTCCTAGTCTCCTTCCCGCCACCTAATTGACTCTAAATGGTCTTGTTTGTGGAATATTTATTTTTTTTTTCTGTTCTCTGGGCAAATCTTTATATTACTTTCTATGCATGGGAAGGTTTCCTATAGGCCCTGGCTCTCTCCCTGGATAGGGCCCACAACTTCATGAAATTAGCCCATGTGGGCTTTTCAAAAGGAGATGATTTGGGGTCATGCTTTAGGTGGTTAATGACAAAAATCTAGACCTGACCAGGCTCTTTCCTCACAGAGGACAGAACTGAAGGATGAAGCTTCTGTTGGCAAGGAAATCTTCAGCTGTAATGCAGTGCAACCAGCTTGAGCTAAAAAATTGAACAGAAAAGGAAAAAAAAAAATGTTCTGGTCTTTATAAACTCCTAAAGGACCTGACACATGCCTGTCAATAACAAGAGTCCACCTGGGAGGGAGGCACAGGGAGGGCTCAGCTGTTCCCTTCTTCTCCCTCAATGGTCCCCAACACATGGACCTACAGCACATCAGGTGAAGAAGGAAGAAACCAACGGAAATGGATGTCCTCTCTAGTCCTTTAAAATTAACTGGTGAAACTAAGGAACAGCACCACGTTTATTAATATTCTAGTTATGATGAAAGATTCATTACAGTCCACCATTAGTGGAGTATTAAGATAAAAAGACAGCGTCTCCCAATCTTTAATAATATATGGTTATCCTTTAAAGGAAAAGTTCCCTAAGGAGAGGCAGTGCTGACACATTTTTTTTATCCCAATTTTGCTTCCACACTTACAATTATAAAACTGTAAGTGTCGTATTTATTTATCTTTACAGTTTCATATAACTGTAATACCAAAAGCAATTCATAAGATTAAATAAAAGCAAGACCATAAAACTAACTAAATTCAAGTTAACAATATTAATTAAATGGTTAATGTTATTTTGCAGGAACCAAAAAGCTACATTCCACAGGAATGTTCTACTCACTGATCTGGCCCAGATTCTTTGGAGCCAGCATCCTTTATAGTATTTCTGTTGTGTAATGACTCATTGCACTGCAACTTCTCTCAATTGCAATTACTATGAAGTTGTAGTGTACCATGATAAATTTGGGCCTTCGTCTGCTCCTGATACATTATTTATACATTTGTTGGGCTTCATATTTTGTTAGTCTTCAGTCACTGAAGTATCACCAACGGGTGCCAGTGGGTTAGTAGCCTCACCCACTGCAGTGTGAAGTCTCATGGTGGGACTTGGCTATCAGGTGGTTATTTACATGACCCACTAGTTGCCCTTATTAATTTTTTTAGATTGTCATAAGAAATCTATAAATACAGAATTTCTCAGATTCCAGGAATCTGACCACGAGGTATAGTTTTAGTACCAATCTTTTGGATGAACAGAGAAAAATATATATATACACATACATACACAATTCAGTGTTTCTCAGCCTTTGTTCTGCAGAAAGCTTTTGATGAGAAAAGGAGTTTCTTGATCAAATATGTTTGGGAAGTATTAGGTTACATAAAATTTAAGAGGACTTCTTAGAACTTTTAATATGTAAATAGGCATGAATATCCTGACTATCAAGATAGCATGAAGCAGTTCTCTCCCTTAATTGAGCACAAAAACCAACCTTCCTTCCTCACTCCTTCTTTCCTCCTTCCTTCCTTCCTCCTCCTTCTTTTCTTCTTCCTCCTTCCTCTCTCCTTCCTTTCTTCCTTCCTCCCTTCCTTCTTCTCTCCTTCCTCTTTCCTCCCTCCTTCCTTTGTTCCTATGGCAGAGAGACTGTAAGACGGCCCCCTGATGATCACTGCCTCCTGGGATTCATGGACTTACGTAACTTGCTTTTCTCAAGTGTGAGTGGGGACTGGAACACACTTCTAACAACAGAATATGGCAAAGGTGATGGGGCATCACTTCTGTGACTGAATTACATGAGACTGCAACTTCCATCCTGCTGGCAGAGTCTGCCTATTGCCTTCTCAGCTTTCATTGTAGACAGACTCATGCAGCAAGGAATGAGGAGGCCTCCTCCAGCCAGTGGTCAACTAGGAACTGAGGACCACTGTCCACTAAGACTTTAGGAACCAAATTCTATCTTCTGAGCTGAGAAGAAGATAGTTCCCCAGTCAAGTGAGATCTCAGAGATGATCAAAAACTTGAGGGAAGCCTGTGCCAGACTGTGAAGCAAGGGACCTTGACAAGCTACCCCCAAATTTCTGACCCCCCAAAATGTGGGATAGTGAATGTATATTATTGTAAGCTGCTACATTTGTGATTTATTTATTTGTTTATTTATTTTGGCAGCAATAAAAGACCAGAACATTCCTCTCCCCAACAGGACCTCTTAACATAAAACACAGGTTGTTTGGGAAAAGTTGCTCTAATCTACGTAGCTGTTTAAGATCCATAGCCAAATTAAGGCAGTTTCCCAAATATTTGGAAAAGTAAACCACATATTCCATTCCCACTTAGGTAAAAGAGATGTTCCTTCAACAAGAAAGACAAGCGACTTGTCGGTTCACTGAAAAGCACTTCTAATATAAAAGTCAAAAAGAAATGGATGACAGATAAAGGGTTGAGTGAACCAGGTTGGTCTGTATTATATCATATTTTTTCCTTTCCTCTCTTGAGAGTATATGAACTTTAAATATAATGACCTGATTTTCAAGAGACAACTTTTAACAGTTACTAAAACTAAAACATTTAGAAAAATGTCTATCATTCCTAAGTTCTGTAGAAGTATTTGCTATTACAATGTTGATTATTTAGTATTATAGGAATATATGCCTGGTCTATTATGTTAAGTTCTAAGTGTGGCATCTTAATAAGTATAAAGGAGTATATTTTCAAAGGGCTACAGGGACATTGCCAGTTCTCCTAGTCACGCCACATGGAACATACAAAGATCAGGAGAAGGGACAGAGTACAAAGGAGTCTTAACTACCCGCCCACTCACAGCTTCAGGCAGAATCCATACGAGAAACCTGCCTTTCATGTAGTTAACACAATCACCACTGAGCATAGACTTTTATACAGAGGCTTCCCACACATGCATTTCACAAGACACAACCAACTACCCACCCACTAGCCAAAAGGGAAAAAAATAATAGAAGAAGAAGAAGGAGGAGGAGGAGGAGGGAGGAGGAGGAGGAGGAGGGAGGAGGAGGAGGAAGAGCGAGGAGAGAGGAGGAGGAGGAGGAGGGAGGAGGGAGGAGGAGGAGAAGGAGGGAGGAGGAGGAAAAACAAACACTGTCATTGAAACACACACACGTAGTGTGTGACTAGTAGCACACCAGACAGAGGAAAACATTAAAATAAAAATAAAACTGTGCTCCAATAAGTTGTGGTTCCTGGGGCCTGATCTGATGGCTTCAGCCAACTCCTAACCACAGCTCAAGGAGATTCAGCTAAACAACTTAATTCTTCTCTCATTCATAAAGTATGTGCCTGGCTCGGATTCTCCAGTTGCAATAAAGAGGGATCATCTAGGAAAATACTCCTTTGTGCTCACTGCCTGTGGCTCACATGGCAAGAAGCAGCATTTTACCATAAATATTACAGTGTCCTACAAGTCACAACAGGGATGTGCTAAGTAACCAGACCTTATGTGAGCACAGCCCTTTACGTCTACAGAAGACTTTTCACACTGTTCCTCAGCACAAAGTTGTTGCCCTTCTTTTACAGCTGAAGATCACAGAGCCCAAAGGCCTCAAGTCTCTAGGTGTCCATCACACCACAGCACAACAGACTAACCAATCCTGGAAACTGGGATGCCTGATTCCAAGTTCAATGTCATTTCTACTATACTGACGGGATGATTGTGGAGCAGGACCTTTGGAAACTGGCACGTGAAAGGAGAATGGGTAAGGGATGGGTGTTCTTAGTTTCATGATAGGCATATTCCGTGGACTGGAGTCTGTCTGGGACATGGTCCTGGGCCACTCCTGTAATGCTTCGGAGAAGTCCAGTGTGAATGCTACTAATTGCCGTCAGGCAACCAAGTAGATGACAGTCGCTTTGTGGAGGAGGAGAAAAGCTGAAATATAGTCTACTCTGTGAAACACGCAAGCTTTCTTACCTCCCTGACATGTGCTTGGAGCCAGACTAAGATAGGAAAGCGTTTTCTGGTTGGGAACTTTGCCTCTGTCTACCACTGTTCTTAATTTAGAAACTATTTAAATCTCCAGTGACTCCACAGAAGTCTTTCCAGTGGTTTCCCAGAGGACATCCTAAGATTCAGTAGCCCATTCAACTAAGCAAACTCTACAGAAATGATAGACTTTGGTAGCCCAGCCAGTCACGGTCTCTCCCCCTCCTGGGTATAGTCTCCTGATCTACTCTTCATGCTAGCCTTCCTAGTCAGCTGCTGTACACCAAAGTCCTGGGGAGCCGGGGGGGAAAAAAAAAAAAAAAAAAAAGCTTTGAAATTTGGCAACCATCCTGGAGTTTCCCAAACCTTTACAGCAAAGTGCTGGCTTCCTGGCACGTACTTCCTGGGTGATTTCTCAGCTGAAAAAGCAACACGAACTCTGGCTGACCATGGAACTCTCTGGCATTTGTAGAACAGCTTAGGCTTTGTGGCTACAAACTGGGGGCCAGGTCAGATTAGATGAGTGTTTTATCCTGTTTACTGCCTCAAACTGACTTGGAAGCTGAGGAAGGAAAGGGCTGGGAAATGTGAGAGCTGTGGAGAGCCAGATGTTTTCCAATCAGCTGGAGGAATGTGCTGTCACACTATCTTGTGGGGGAAAGGAGTACTGTACTTCTCAACGCAGGTTTTTAAAACCTGCTTATCTTGCTGTTATTTAATCAATAAAGGATGCATTTTGGATCTCTAGACACTTTTATGTTCCACCTCCAGCTAAGTAAGGGAAAATGGGATCTAGATCTGGATTCAAAAACCTGGGTTTGAATGCCTGCTTAACCCATTATGAGCTGTGAGACACTGGACGTGCCACTGTATCTCCGTGGGCCTCAGTTTTCTTGCCTGGAAAGTGGGGACAGTTGTCTCATATGAGATGCTTCCAGTATTCAAATGAACTGTGTATAAATTTGCCTGAGAAATTATAAATTATAACAACATTTAGCTTTATCTAAAAACTACTTTGACAACACTCTACATGTGTTTCTATGAATTTTGATCTGATGTAAGTATATCACATTCTGCTCTCTCCATGTCTGTGCCTTTGTTCCATTGTTTTATCCACTAATATGGCTCCCTCCACACCGCTGTCAATGCAACCTAAATTCTACTCACCACTCGGAGTCCTGCTCGAATATATGTGCTTCAAGCACCGTAGATGAACTCAGCTGATAGTCCTGTGACCTGTCTCTTCAAGTTCCTCTGATGTGCAGTATACTCTGTACTATCTGGCACTCACTCACTAGGTGACAGAAGCCCCGCGACCTCTCCAAGCCTCAGGTACTCAACTGATCATTCTGTCCCTGCCTAGTTCACAGGACTCCTGTGGGCAACAGATAAGGGAGTGAATCTGGAAACATTTTTGTTGGAAACCAAAGGTGATGACATACAAATCTGAGACACTGTTTTCAAGTCTTGCTTTCAGAATGTCATAAAATATAGTAGCTTAGTCCTATTCCTTAGTTTCCAGAGAAAGTGGACTCTTCCTTAATTTAAATAACAACGAGCCAAGTCCTACCTCCTCCTTTCCCTCCTGTAAGCAGAAGTGCACAGATACTTACCCTCTCTTAAGTCTCGATCTATCTTGGGCGATGACTTTTTCCCCATTGATAATCCATGAACTTCTGCCCCTTCCACGTTCACTCCTGAAGGGACCCTGCCCATTAAAAACAATTGAAATGGAATTTCCCACTGATTAAGGATGTTCAAAGACAAAGGGCACCTTACTCTTCTTAGCACCCTTTTTTTTCTTGACAGTTAATTGTATCCATAACTTCACCCTTCTTGAGATTAGACATTAAGTCTCAAAAGAGCAGAAAAATATTAGCACGTGCATCTTTGTAATGCTTGGAGTGTTGTTATTTTTGTCCTGAGCATAGAGCACACCCCAAACAATAGCTGAACTGAAATAAAGCATGATCTCGTGCAGTGGTTCTTGACTATTCCAAAAAAGAAGACACAAGTTTCAAACTTGGAAAATATACAAATCACAGCATGATATCCTTTCAATATACACAGACTGAACAAATCCAACTCTGCATGTCCACTCTTGGAGCTCTTGTAATAATTTTAAACCACCCAGGATTGAGGCCTTGCCACCTAGAGAAAGACCACAAGATTTTGAATAGGAAGATTTTCATCTACCAGTCCTTCATGGTGACACTCCAAAAGAGTCCTTTGCCTTGTCAGAACCTTGATTTCTGAATTTGGAAAATTAACAGGCTAGACCAGATCAGCTCAAACATGTAACTCCAACATTCTATGATTCCTCAAACTGCTTGTAACATGTAAATTGATTTTTTTACTTCTATCATTTCAAAAAATGAAGTCTCTTCATTTCTGATTGAGTTAATGACACCGAGTAGTTTAGCTTGCAGTGAAACTTTTTGGGCTTCCTGCTTTCAAATACAGTAAGGGAATTCAGCATTAACAAGAAAAAACTAAGCTCTATTCTATTAATCAAAAACAGAATCCACAGAAGGTGTCACCTTCAGAGATCACCTGATCCAACCCCTTCCTTGGAGGGAACACAGAAGACTAGAAAGGAAAACAAAGCACCCAAGGTCACATGACTGTAGAAAGAGCGAGCTGGGACCAGAAGGCTGAGCTTCTAATTCCCAGTGTAGAATTCATTTAATTATATCTTTTTGCCTATTTCATTGAGCTAAGATCCTTATAATGGGTATGACTCTAAGTATTTCTTCTCATTAAAAGTAAACGGATTGTGTTCTGAATGAAGAACTCACCGATTCTCATCCTGTCGTCCACCATACCGGATCCAATAATTCTGTTTTAAATTAAAAAAAAATCAATAGCTTTGTCACTAAAATATAATGCATAAAAAGAAAATATAAATTTAAAACACTCAAAAGATCTAAAACATTGGGAAACTTGCATATTGTATTAAGATACAATATTTTTTTAATTAGTAAAAAGAAAACCTAAAGGCAATGAAACATGGGCAAAGATAAAATGATGCACAAATGGATTTTTGAAAATAAAAGGGAATTAGCTTAAGTATTTATATTTTTTATCCAAGAAGTGGATAAAATTTGATGTCAGGAAGACAATTAAGAGATCATTCAGTCCAACTCCCTTATGTTTCATGAATAAAACAAACAAGAAAGTCCAGCTTGATTAATTATCTGTGCAGGATCATAAAGTAACTTTTCTGAAGTTTCCTGGGAGAATGCAATTAAAAAAATAATAAGTAAGGCTGGGTATAAGCATACTATAGACATTGAATGCAATTAAAAAAATAAGTAAGGCCAGGTATAAGCATACTATAAACATTATTTAGAATTAGTATACTTAAAAATTTTCCTAATTTTTAAAATATGCCAATAAAAACATAAGACAGTAATGAAAAGAATGTTACAAATAGGATATATTACAAATAGTACTTTTTTATGAATATGTGACAGGTACAAATGTAAAGAACTTATATAGTTAACTAACAGATATATGAAAAAAGGCATGTCCAGATAATTCAGGTCACAGAAAAAGTAATTAAGACAATATGTGAAAAGTTAATTTTTGTTAGCCATCAAAGAAATACAAATGAAAACAACAGTGATATACCATTTTGTATATAAGAAATATAAATGATTTTTAATGTTATTTCTCATTGCTGAGGTATTCATAGTAAACTGGTACTTCACGCACTTCTAGAACCAGTGAAGGTATCAGAAAATTCCCTTAGAAAAGCAATTTCAAGAACTTTAAAACTTCTCATGTCTTTTTATGGCAGAATAATCCCATTCCTGGTAATTTATTCATAGGGCATAGTTCAATACAGAGGGAAAATGCTTCATGCATTAAACATGGTAGAAAGAAATCAGAAACAAATCAGACGTCCAGTGTCAGGAGAACAGTTAATTTATTGCACGTCAATTCTATTTACATAGCTAAAAATCATCTGAAAAGCTGTAAAAATGTAGAAATTGCTTATGACAACTTAAATAAAAATCAGAACAGAAATCTCTCTGTACCGGCAAAGTTGTATCTTCACATGAAGAATGACTAAAAGTCAACATGGACAAGTGGAGAAAAGTCAGCATGATGAATAGTACAGGTGACACTGATTTTGTTCTGTATGAAGTCTTTCTAGTCTTTAAAATGTGTAGGAGAAATACAAAAGCTCGCATCCAGAATTTAAGACATAAAACAATCCTGAGGCAAATGCAACAGGTGCAAAACATTTCTCTTCCCCCCAAATATATCTGCTTTTGACTTTGGATCTCAGTGATATGGAGATCTATTAAAGTCTTTTAATGTTTATCATACACTGAGTAAACACCCACCCCTGCCTCCCTGGGTTTTGTTAATACAAGACAGGAGATAAGACTCTTCAATAAACTATATGTTGGCTAACTGAACATAATTAAAACATTGAAATTAATAAATAAATAAAATTGTGTATAAAAATGTGTATAAAATAAAATAAAATAAATAAAATTAATAAATAAATAAAATAAATAAAAATGGAATTTCAAAAAAAAAAAACTTCAGTAAATCAAGCTGGGAAATAAAATCATGAATAAGAAGTCCACTGAGGGGGTGCCTGGATGGCTCAGTGGGTGAAGTCTCTGCCTCTGGCTCAGGTCATGATCTCAGGGTCCTGGGATGGAGCCCCACATAGGGCTCATGCTCAGCAGGGAGCCTGCTTCCTCCTCTCTCTCTGCCTGCCTCTCTGCCTACTTGGGATCTCTCTCTCTCGCTCGGTGTCAAATAAATAAATAAAATATTAAAAAAAAAAAAGAAGTCAATTGAGTATTCTTTTAAAACACATTTCCTTTTCCCTCTTTGCTCTTACCGGTTCTGTGTATGAAAATCCCAGGCCCTCTGCAGCTGATTTTATTAGTACTGATTCCATTTTATGACGCTTCACAAACATTGCCAAATCCTAGAGGAAAAAAGAAATGAATGAAAAGTTTATATTTAAATAACAGTTAAGAAATAAGATAAATGTTCAAGTGGAAATATTTTTCAATAGACAGTGACAAGTGAGCTAAAAAAATATTCACAGCTGCACAAAAAGTCTCCTTCTCAATAGATTTTCACAAGCTGTCATGTAGGAGAAAAATATGCTTCTGGCATTAATACTGAAGTACAAAAGAACTGCTTTCTAGAACCTTGACTCAATGGCTAGATATCTTCCAGAGCAGTGCTACATTTTTACCAATTCTGCCCAGAGCATCTAGCAGAATGCAGTTTCTTCTCAGGACCTTGGTCTCACCTCTCTGGCCTCAATGGATGCTGGGTCGCTGCTGTCATCCAGGAGACTCTCATAGTAATCTACATTGTCTAGGACGTCCTCATCATCTGGATGGAGGAGAAGATAAGCCTTGGCACACTCCAAGGCTTTCACATATTCACCAACTGAAAGACCAAGGAGTTGTAGCATTAGAGTCAGGCTAGGTCCATCTAGGGGGTTGTAAGAAATACTTCAACATGCCTGTGAGAGGTCCGCAGTAAACACGAGTAAGAGGGAGGATAAGGTGAAGCTGAACAGCATATGCAGAAATGGTCACAGACCAAAACAGATTGTCAAATACGGAGAAACAACTGATGGCTGCCAGAGGGGAGGTGCGTGAGGGGATGGGGGAAATTAAGGGGATCAGGAAGTACAAACTTTGAGTTGTAAGATGAATAAGTCACAGAGCTGAAAAGTTTAGCATAGGGAATAAAGTAAGACTGTAATAACGTTGTTGGGTGACTGATGGTGACCATGCTTATCATTAATGAGCCCTGAGTGATGGTCAAGTCATCATGTTGTACACCTGAAACTAATACAACACTCTGTGCTAATCATACTTCGAAAGAGATAGCCACAGACAAAAGAAAGGACATGATTTCAGGTGTTTAAAATGGTACTACCTTTGGTCTGCTTTGGTGCTAGATGTTTTACATCAATTATTACAAGTTTCCACCTGAAGATGTTTGTTGACAACTTCCATTAGTTAATACAAATAAGCAGAGCAGAATTTTGGCAGTTAATTTTGTTTTTGTCCTGAGTTCGACCACACGACATCTAAAACCGATTTCAGCAATCCCAATTCTATTAATTGCTTATAAGCGTGAGGAAAGATGTTCAATCTCTCCTTCTCAATTAGATAAATAGAAATTAAAACTATACTGAGATAAAAATTTTCACCTAGTGGGATTCGGTAATAATCTAAAATTTCACAATATATTCTGTTGATGAGCAATGAAAAATGTACTATACATGGAAGAAAATTTGGCAACATCTATCAAAATCTAAAATGAATGAATGATTTGACACAGGACTCGTACTTCCAGAAACTCATCCTATAGATATTCACTTGTGGATGTGAACTTACATAAAATATTACACATTTGATCCTTGATTGAAATACCAGTTACTAACAACACAATACCCATGAGTAAGGAGACACATAAAATAAATTACAGTACAATGGCATGTGGGTGTAAAGAAAAATTAATGAGGAAGATCTCCATGTATCAATACAATTAGGTTAGACCATATAAAATTGCCAAAATTTGGCTTTTACTGACCTAAGCAAAGGGTAATTTCATAGATCCAACCTACTAAAAAATACTTTTTATGATTTTATTTTTAAGTAATCTGTACACCCAACATGGGGCTCAAACCCACAACCCCGTGATCAAGAGTAGCATGCTCTACCAACTGAGCCAGCCAGGCACCCCTGGTACTATTATTATTATTATTATTATTATTATTATTATTATTGAGAGAGATAATCTTAAGTAGGCTCTTCGCCCAGCACAGAACCCAATGAGCTTCGTCTCAGGACCTTGAGATCATGACCTAAGCTGAAATCAAGAACCAGATGCTTAACCAACTGCACCACCTACGCGCACCCTCCTTACTTATATATATTATTAAGTGAAGAAAGCAATGTAAAAAATCAGTGTAAATAATATGCCACCTTCTGTGTATGAGAGGGGGAAATATGTTAGGGTGTGTGTGTATACATGTTTTAAAAAAACATAAATTGGAAACTGGGTTGTAGGGCATGAAATTGGGCTGCAGAAAAAAGGAAGAGAGGGAGGCTTTTATGATATTTGGTCTTTGAACTTGCAAATATATGACCTTTTAATATTAAATTGAAAATCATGTAAAATGTGTCTAAGAAAATTTTCAGGACATCATCACAGCATTTGCCCACTTGTGGTTTCACAAGTGCTCTCTTTGGCCTGAGTGGCGGTGATGTGAGATGAGAGAAAAAAAGCCATAAACCCACATTGCCTCAATGGTAAAGTGGGAAATACAGAGGAAAATTCAATGTCTGTAATGATGAACGACACCCCTTCCCCAAAGGTCTTCCGGGACGATCCACACTTTACCTCGATAGTAGGCAAACTGTAGGTAGTCATAATGAAGGGGAAGAAAATTCTCAATCGGAGAGAGGCGGCCAGGGCGAGTGGCGAGTTCCCTCACGCATTCGTGCTGACAGACCAGCACCTGCATATAGTGATCTGGAAGACAAGAGTGAGAGGTGGGTCCCTTCCGCTCACTGGCGTGCCATACACACACACACACACACACACACATATATACATACATTTATATGTGTATGTGTATATAGATGTTATATTGGGGTGTGGCCAATATTGATCAGGAACCTATTCTACCCAGTTACAGAATAGTCCACCGCCTGAACATTGGAAATCCTAATACTGTAGGGACTGCTAAAATAGGATATGGAGGAAAGCTCAAGAATTTAGATACACATTCTGCCTCTTTCTCTTTGTTCCCCTTTCTGTGTCCCATCCTTCTTGCTGTAAACAGCTAAGGATTCTCAAGCATAGGGTTGTCACACTCCCTTTAGCTCTGGGCTCTCACTCATCCACACATGGGCTGAGGAAACGAAAGTAGCTAATGTCCCAGAGAAACAAACACTTCTTACATTTTGCCCCAACTTTGATTTTTATAATGAAGATGGAGGTTTTCTCCAGAAAGATTTTATTCTTGCTTGCGCAGAGCAGGCTCTCTTGAGACTAATGATAAAAATCGTCTGACTTCATGACTTCACATTTTAATTTACCACAACTGCCTCCTCTCAACAGAGAACCTCTCAAAGGTTCTCTGTTGGGCAGTTTGGCTTGTCTCTTGCTGACTTGAAGAGGGACCCTAGAGCACAACAGAAAGGGCGTGTGTCTCTTCTGGCGTGTAGGCAAATGGGCCAGTTCTTGCACGACCTAACTCAACCCAACACAGAACAGCTAACATAATCTCTACAATCCACTGGTTCTTAAATACAGCAGGAGGATGAGAAGGGAAGAATAAGCTCTGTTTACTTGTGTAGTATGTAGAAATAAACAGCTATATAAATAGCCAACAAATAGCTGTTTTATTTCTTATGAAAATGACAAACAACCTTCAACTGTTTTCTCCTGGTTAGCTGGCCACTGACATTCCTCTTTACCTTCTAACACACACTCCTCCTAATTCCAAATGACAAGCAAAAGGAAGAGGTGGAAAACACACCCAGTATGAACCCAAAATCTGAAGGAAGGTTATTTTTCAACACAACATACAAAGAAAAACAAAATGAGAGTCACAAAATTATATTCCTTAGGGCTTTAACACGCATGCCTGGAAATAAATAACTACATTGAGAAGACATTTGTGTTTTTAATGTTCTTCTAACTCTAAAATTAAAATATTCTGGTTTCCTAAATATACTCTGTATTTCATTTTTTATTGTTTTTTTAAAGATTTTATTTATTTATTTGTCAGAGACAGAGAGAGAACACAAGTTAAAGGGAGTAGCAGGCAGAAGGAGAAGCAGGCTCCCTGCTGAGCGAGGGGCCTGATGCAAGACTCCATCCTAGGACCCTGGGATCATGACCTGAGCCCAAGACAGACACTTAATGACTGAACCACCTATGTGCCCCCGCCATTCTGTATTTTAAAAGCCAGTTTCACTTCTAATTTAGAAGGTTTTTTTGTTTTTTTTTAAAGAAGATTCTATTTATTTATTTGACAGAGCACAAGCAGGATGGAGAGCAGAGGGAGAGGGAGAAGCAGGCTCCCCACTGAGCAGGGAGATTGCCTTGGGGCTAGATCCCAGGACCCTGGGATCAAGACCTGAGGTCAAGGGCAGATGCTTAACTGACTGAGCCATTCAGGCGCCCCTTAGAACAGTTCTGAACCAGACAAGAATTCACAGAGTTAGGATAACACATAAGTTGTGTTTCTTGTCTCCTTTCTGTATCAAGTGTTATTGTGCAATTACTATGATTTAATACATTTGAGATCCAAGACACTTCTGTGGGAATACTGTTTAAAATTCCCTTCTCATAATAAATTGAACATGTGTTGAATTCTCGAGAAGACTTGCCATATTTCTGTAATATATAATATTTGACTGAGTGTCAAGAGCCGTGACTTTTAAAATCAGTTTCCTTTACTGGAAGCGAGGGTAATGGTGGTGATAGTTGTATTAAGTATTAAGTATTAAGAGCCCGAGTTAAGAGATCTCTATTCTTTTCCAGCAACCAACATGTTATGATGACCTCATGCAAACCATTACACGTTGTTCTGTGGGAATCTGTCTGTCAGTTTTCCTAAATCAGATGTAGGACCTTTGCCAAAGCTGTTCAATGCCCATTGATGGAGGCAAGTCTGGAGGAGGTGGAGACAGGGCACACATCCTTACACAGCTACAAGGTAATAAACTCTAATAAATGAAAAGCATTCCCAAGTAAAAGAGTAAGTATAAACAAATACTTAACAATTGAAATGTGAAACACACATAAAACTGACATTCGAATGAGCAGAGCTCACAAAAATGCAAGGAAATACTGTGCCAGAGGCTTAGCAAAACAAAACCTGGGGGGAAAAATCCTCAATAATTCAGATACTGGTACTGATTTTAGATGAACTGAGTTGGTTTTGGGTAATTGACTATGAGGCAAATAGTTCATCCAACAAACTGATTTTCAGTCTACTGCTTAATCTAAATTTTGAAAGATGTTTCCCAGTTGTCCCTCTCAAAGACCTTGACAACTTATGACCTACATTTTCAAAACATACAGTATTATTAATCCTTTTAATCTGAAATGTGATTGATGGTTATGTCATTTCCTTCCTCCTTCCTTTCTCCCTCCCTTCCTC